CACAAATCCACCGTTATTTGTGGCAAATTAATTTGTGAAGGAAATGTTGTCGTTATTTGTGTCATTGTTGCAGTAGAAAATTTACTGTAATTTATGGCGGTACAGTGGCAAAAAAAATCCTCCCCAATTTACGACATATTTGCAATGACAATTCCACTGCCAATTCATCATAAGTTGTGGTGGATTTTTCACCACAAACCCTACGAAATTGCGTCTATCATTCTTTGCGATGAAACTTCTGCCAAAATTTTGCCAAAAATCTGTAGCATAAATAGGAAAATAGCACATTATATCAATTATTCAGCTTTTCAACAATAACAATTTATGCAGTTTTAAAGTAATAGTTAATAATGATAATATTTCAACAAACACTGTTAATAATACTGCTACAATAAATATAGTACACAAACTATTTACAACTATTCTACAATAATGTAACACTGGTACAATAAATATAATTCTTATACATCAGAAAATGTAAAATGTATAAAAAAATCTAAGACAATTTAAGCAATATACAAATATAATATTGACCCATACTAAAGAAATATTGAGTGTGACAACCTGATAGAATAAGGTCTCATATAGTTTATCCCTATAGACTTAACAAGTAGCAATATACAAATATAATATACTCTTATAAAATGTATTAAATCAAATTTGTTTAATATCATATTGAACTAAGGGGCTATTTAGATATAGGATTTGTGTTGGATTTTAGCAGGATTTAAGCTAAATCCTGCCAAACAGGATTTAGGGAACTGTTAAATCTCATAGCAAGTTAAATCCTATGTTTCCAACTTTTTATTGTAAATCCCATATTTAAATCCAAGAGTTCGGCGCATATACGGGATTTGGCCGAAGAAGTGTGCTAGGGAAGAAAGATCGCTACCCTCACAACGAGCAAGCTCTCATATATTTTGTTCCTTTCGATCCAATAAAAGAACAATAAGGAGGTGTGACTTCAGATCCAACAGGAAGGAATGTCATTGAAGGAGGCAAAGAAGTTATTTAGCAACTCGTTCAAAGCTGCCTCTCACATAAGTCAGATACCAATGAACAACTAGAGAAGAGGAGATGAACCCCTAGCAATGAACCAACGACGGAGGCAAAGTCGAAGAGCAAAGCGAAGTCGAAAAGGAACAAGGATCGGAGGAGCGAAGTCGAAGAATAGAATGAGAAAATGAAATAGATGCACAACCAATTCGTTAGATAAGGTCAGTTTGTGATGAATTTACGGCAAAGCCGTGCCCTACTTTGCTGTAGAATTGCCACCACTAATTCGCCGCAAAGGTCAACAAAAAATTTTTGCAAAAATTTTTGTTGCAAACCCGTTGATTTTTTCGACAAATGATCCTCCGTAAAATCCATCTCAAATCCACTAAAAACTACTGGCTTTTCTATAGTGATGCAACTAGACTAATAGAATAATAATTATCAGTCAAGTATAGGCATGGCTCCTTATGAAGCTTTGTATGGTAGAAAATGTAAGACTCTTTTGGCTTTGACAGAGGTGGGAGATAGACAAGTGATAGATCTAGCCTTTGTAGATGATACTATTGCAAAGATCAATTTGAATAGAAAAATGTTAAAATCTGCATAAGATAGACATAAGAAGTATTACAATCAGAAGCATAGGTTGGTTGAGTTTTAGATTGGTGACCAGGTTTATATCAAAGTCAACCCTATAAAAAGTGTCATCATATTTGGGATAATTAGCAAGCTCAGTCCAATGTACATTGGACCTTTTGAGATCACTAAGAGGATTGATAATTCTGATTACAAGTTATTATTACCTGATCATTTGTCTGATACACACAATAAGTTTTATGTATCACCTTAGAGAAAATGGGTGTCTGATTCTGGAAAGAGATTATCTACTGATGATGTTGATGTTCATCCAAATCTGCAGTACAAAGAAGAACTCGAAAGAATTTTAGCATATGATGCGATAAAATTGAGAAGCAAACAGATTCATATGTTTAAGGTGCACTTGAAGCATAGGACAACTAGAGATGCTACTTGGGAGAAGAAATCTGATATGAGGCAACTATATCCAGGTTTATTCTAACTCATTCTGCTTTGGAAATGTTGAGGACAACATTCTTCTTCAGATGGGTAGATTATGAAACCTTTTAAATTTTCAAAAATTTTTTGCTGACCTAGAGAATTTCAAATCACAAACTATCTTTACAAGAACATTTATAATGTCGTGTTTTAGCTGCCCTAATTTTTTCATAATTTTTTAACACTATCGAAATTTCTTATGAAATCCGCTGAAATTGGCAGCTGTTAGTACAAGTAGAGTTTTGATAACTACCAGGTGTCTATTTTTCAAACCGATTTCATCAAAATGTTCTAAATAAAATAAGTTCATTTATGATTATTTTTCATAATTTTTGAAACCCCTAAAAGAATTTCTATTAATTTTTTATTAAAAAAATTAATTATAATATTATTTAATAATAAAAAATAAAAATTATCTAAAAGCACTTATCTATTATTAAAATTTCTTTTTCTATGCCATTTTCAGATTTGCCAAATAGAGGAGACCGTAGGGCTAGGAAAGAAGAGGAGAGAGAGAGAGGGAAAAATTCGATTTTGGGCAACTTCAAACCACTTTTCGTTCATCAGCACAGTTGGGAAACTTGTTCTTCTTGAGGTAAGACACATAATGCTCATCTCAATTTTCAAAAATGTAAAAGTTTTGCTGAATATTATGATTAAAATTTTATATCCGTTAGCAAAAAACAGGGATAACTTTGCACTGGAAAACTTTCACCACGTAACTTTTTGTATTTTGTAGAGATTACAATTATGCATATTTTGAATATTTTCTGGAATTTTTTCACCATGGATTTTGAAATTTGCTGGATTTTTATTGAATAGAAAATTATCGGGATGTTAAAAAATAGTGTTGTAGTATAATAAAAGTCTTAAAATATTATTTTACATAATCCCTGATAATTTGATATTTTTATGAAAATGTGCATTTTTGCCTAGTAGAATTTTCTGTTATCTACCGTTATATAATATTGTGAAATTTTAATACATGCTCAATTACTCTTTAATTTTTATAATTTGATTATATATGTCCATATTTGATTAAATTATATATATTTAGAGCTACAAGGGGACAAAATTCTTTGAGATTCTATCTGTGTCAGGAAATTTCTGAGAGTTATAAGGAGATAATCCTTTGAGATTCTATCTGAGATAGAGATATCTGATATATTCTGGTGCTCTAAGTATAAATAAAAAGAAAGTCATAAGGGATCAAAATCCTTTGAGATTCTATTTGGGTCTGAAAAATGTGGTCTAAACTATTCTATGATATAAATTTTAATTTATTCATTTGTTCTGTACTGTTATCTGAATCATAGAATAGTTGCTATACATTTATTATATTTTTCAATTTTGTGATTCTCAGTTCAGTGATTTATTTAAACTACAATTAACTATTTTTAAGTATTCAGCAAAATATTTGATAAAATAATATTTGAAAATTTAGATTAGTTTGTGTGACTTGTTGAGCTGTTGTAGCTCACTGTGATTTTATTTCTGATTTTTTAGGATATGAGAAGTGGAAAGAGATTGTGGACTAGCTATTAATGATCAAATTTGAGGTTATAGATATTTATTTATTTTAATTTTTGTACAATCATTGTTAGTTTAATTTTTAGTTATGTAGCTCTTGCATGTAACCATATACTGCAATGTATATTTTTATTTTGATGAGTGAAAGAAATTGTATGAATGAGATTTTCAATATTTGAATATTTTAGTAGCTATGTAGTTTGTCATTTATTTCAATGAATATTGACAGAAAATTTAAAATAATTCCAAAATTAGATCTTGGGGTTTGTCTGTCACAGTAAGCACGATAGGACATATCCTGATCGGGTTGGGTTGTGACGGAAGGAGCGAAGTTGAAGAATAGAATGAACAAATGAAATAGATGCACAACAAATTGGTTAAATAAGGTCAGTTTGCGAAGAATTTACGGCGAAGTGGCACTGGCTTTGCTGTAGAATTGCCATCGCTACTCCGCCGCAAAGTTCAACCAAAGTTTTTTGCGAAAATTTCTGTCGCAAACCCGTCGACTTTTTCGACAAACAATATTCTTCCGTAAAATACATCTCAAATCCATTAAAAAATACTGACTTTTATATAGTGATGCAACTAGACTGATAATATATATATACATATATATAATATATGATAAAACTGTATATGAATTACATGATGTCATGAACAAACTATCACTTATATAAGAGAGTCCCAAAAATATTCAATGGCATTTATAGCAAAGATCTCATAAAATAATGAATTTCACACGTATTTCATGACCAATCTAATGGAGTCAATAAACACAACGAAAAACTTAATGTTCATCACTAATAATCATAATACTATTGCTAAGACTCTATTAATTATTTTCTTAGATGCATTCATAGAGCTTTCAATTATCCTACTGTAATAAATATCTTTATAAGATTTAAGACAGTTTTTTATGACGTTACCTCAGAGCATCTCCAACCGAAAATGTCATTTTTCACTCCAAAATGCAGGGAAATCAAAAAATGCCGTATTTCATCTCCAATCCAACGCCATTTTACCGCTAAAATGGTCGTTTTCGTTCGCGCCTTTCTTCCCAAGCTGTTCGGTAGAGAGAAAAAAATGCCGCGGATGAACAGTGCAACGCCAATATTGGCGTCGCACTGTTCATCCGCGATCAAATGACGTCAAAAATGGATATCGGTTGGAGCAAAGCAAGAACGGCAAACAAGTATTTGCCGTTCGGTTGGAGATGCCCTCATGCCGCTTGTTTCCCGTTTAAACGCTAAAAAACAACACAGAACTTCGCATGCGGGGCCCTCCCACGGAAAATATGTCACGCGTTCGAGCTCCAGCTTTCCCGCCTCAATGGTGGAGCCGCACAGAATGAAATAAATAAACTGAGTAAGAAATCCAAAAGCGGTTGGAAAGAGCTGCAAGCGAGACAGAGAGAGAGAGATATTTTGTAGATAGAAGTAATGATGGCTTCAACTACGTCAGTCTTTATATTTATTTATCTCCTTGTTGTCTGCCACTCCTCGCCGTCTATAAAAGCCTTCGCAATCCACTTCTCCGGCAAGGAAACCCTAACGCCAGCTGAAAGCTGGACGGTCAGCTCCCAACGACGTCGCCGGGCTATGCTTCTAGATTCCTAACGCGTCGACCTCTTCGCGATGGCGGCTATCCTCGGCATTGGCGCCGAAGACTCCGGGGTGACCAGCAGCAGCCGGCGGAGCTGGGTATCAAGCAGCTTTCGCGATCCCACAGACGTGTTCCGCCGGAGCACGGCGGCGGAGGAGGGGGACGATGAAGAGAATCTCAAGTGGGCCGCACTTGAGAAGCTTCCTACTTACGACCGAATGAGAAAAGCGATTCTCCAGCAGTTGGGAGATGATGGGAAGGTTATCAGCAGCGAGGTGGATCTTAATAAGCTTGGCATTCAGGATAAAAAGATTCTCGTGGACCGGATTTTGAAGATAGTGGAGGAGGATAATGAGCGGTTCTTGAAACGCCTTAGAGACCGATTCAACAAGTTTGGGCTCGAAACCCCTCTGTTCTTTTTGTTCTTTTCGGCGTCGTTTATGGCGATGTGTACTGGGATTTGATTGATTTTGCGTCTTGATTGAGACAGCGTTGGGATTGAGCTTCCGAAGATTGAAGTGCGGTTTCAGAATTTGTCGGTGGAGGCAGATGCTTATGCCGGTAGCAGAGCGCTTCCTACTTTGTGGAATGCTACAATTAATACTCTAGAGGTACTATTATTTCGTAGAAATTTTCTCATTTCTTTCTGTTTATACGTCTTCTTTTCAAAATTTGATCCTGGTGTCAAACCGCAGGCGCCTTTAGCTTAGATTTTGTTTGGGACGTCTTAAAACAGTTTTTTTTTTGGGTTAAAAATTAAATTTTTTTAGTAAAGAATTCTTTAGGAAGCAGTAAAAAAACCGTATCAAATGAAGCATTAATCATGCTCCACATAATTTATACATATTAGATGACATGGTTCTTCGAAAGTTATATTACCAACTTGGTACAAGGCAAATAATATTTCTTCTAAAAAGTGTAGAGCATATTTTGTACTTTAGCCGTACAAAATATGTTTTCTCCTGAGTTATATTTTCATGCTTCATCTTCTGCATTCATTCCCTATTTACAGCCCCGGGAGCAATTTGATAATTGGTTCAAGAGTTATTGTTGGAGTGGATTTTTTTTTTTTCTTGATAACTCCCTCTTGTTTAACCTAAATTATTTTATTTTTGGCGCTGCGCAGGGGATATTTGGTTTTGTTCATTTTGCTCAATCAAAGAAAAGAGTGAACAAGATACTTACTGATGTTAGTGGAATTCTAAAGCCATCAAGGTGAGTCTGGTAAAGCTTGTTGAGCTCCTCTTATATTGTCAAGAGTTCCGAGTCTTATTTGGTTGGCGGGTAGATATGATTATTTTCTTTGGCATTAGACTGCCAATTTGATTAATGAAAGGCTTTTTTTAATTTTATTCTTAGCACTGCATACTGATAAAAATATGAATGCTCTTAAATTTTTCTCAATACTGATTTTTCTACCAATTGCTAACGGTGCTTCGTGTAGTCATTCTGTCATGAAAGAGGGATGCTTTCAATGATTGGTGTAAGCAAGAAGCACTCGAAGAAAGGGTTCTCATCATTATATAAAAAATAATTGGCATGACATAAAGCAATATTTGAGTGATTCCAGCAATTGTATCTACTCTAATAAGGAATCCATAATTGTATTCCTAAAATACAAATTTTACAATTATACTAAATTATATAGATTCTCTAGCCTAAATTTATACAATAGTAATTATTGCATATATCTAGCTTATATATCATCTCAGTTTGATTTTGGTTGTTCAATAAACATCATTGCTTTCATAAATATGTTGACAATTCTAAAGATTTGTCGAAATATTAGATATAACCCATAAATGCACAGTTTATGGATTGAGCAGAGCATTCGTGGCATTCAATGGATGGTAGATAGCCAAATACACACAACTAAAAGTATTTATAAATGGTAGTTTGGATGTGCATGAAAGAGATGATAATGATGAGATTTAGGCTTCGTGTGGGGCAACTTTCTCATTGCTTTCTAAAACAGTTTTTTAGCACAAAAAAATTTAATTCAAGAAAATTTTTAACTAAAACACTATTTTAGAAAGCATTAGGAAAGCTATCCCAAACGAACGCTTAAACTTGAAGACATAAGAAAGCTATTTATTAATTAATTAACTTCAATGCCCAAACCCTCAACCTAAAATTTAGGTGTAACAAAATATCAAAGTAGTAATAATGGAGCACACCTAATAGGTGATGATTCTTACATTCATCTACTACATGTTGTTGAGGTTAGTAGGGACTTCCTATTGACCCCTAGAATCAAATCATAACACTTTTATGCTGAAGGAGAACTGGATTTCAACATAGCTTGTCAATTTTTGAGACTTGATTAGTACTTCAGATTTATAAAGAAGAAAATAAACCCATGCATGCTTGTTGTAACCATCAATGAGTGTCACAACATATATATAATTTGCTTGTAGGAGTAATACCCCATACATCACTGCAATGTGATGGAATTAGACAAGACTTGCTTTTCTCAATTTTACTGGTTGAACAATTAAAATAAAGATGAGAGTAGCATTGATATTTATCACTAACAAGCCTTAGTTTGTTAAATGAGATGAGGTGGTAGAATTGGATGACCTAAATGTTTATGACAAAGGCATCATTTTGATTTAATAAGACAATGAGTTCATCTTAGGAATTGAAGGATGCAAGTGAAATGCTTGTCTAACTTTAGGCTATTACCTGTCACTTGATCTTGGACAATACAACCATCACGAAAAAATTGAATGGCATAGTTATTATTATTCAAAGTTTCTATTGAAATAAATTAGCAGAAAGTGTGTAAGGTATAAGGACATCTTTCATGGAAGAACTAATGTCCCTAACAGCATTAATTGATGATTGAGTACCATTAACAATTTGAATGGAGGATGATCCATGATCTGGTTCAATACTGCAAAGAAGATGCGAGGAACCAATTATATAATTGGATGCGCTAGAAACCAATGACCAAGATAGAGGTAGAACATTTATACCCTGTAGCCTGAAGGCTAATAAAGCTATTATAATCATTTGACCAAACCAATTTAGAAATAAGAGCTAATTTTATACAGCAACTAAACCAATGATTTAATCAGCAGCAACCTTTTTTTTGCATTTGATTGGCTATGTTGAGGATGATTATGATATTTTTTAATAATATGCTCTGATTTCTTACAACAATTGCAAAATTTATTAATAATATGTTCGTAACCTTTGCAATTGAAGCATTGTACTAGTTGTGTATCTCTTCCTTTACCATTTCCTTGGTTTGCATAAGTACTGTATTTTCATGCATTTTTAATATTGTTGAAAGATGGTTTGTGACTCAAGATGTTCTTTATTTGTAATTCCTTAAAACACGCGTCTATAGAAAAAAGGGTCATCAAATTGGAGGGAGTAGCTTCAAATTCAAGGTAATTTTATCAAAGGTGTTCTCTCTTGTTTTGTTTGTGAACCTCTAAAATAGTAAAAAGAGTTTTAGAAGTGATGTATTATAAAACATTATCTTGATCGGGCATGAATCTTGAGGCAAAATTGAGTTGTTAGCTTCCGAAATTAAATCTGGGACCAACGGCAATTCGATTTCAGCAAACTTATAGTCAAACTGAACGTCTAAAAAGACGAACCCAACGACATCAAAATAAGTTAAATCCAAGCTCAAATGAGCCCAAATCAAAGACATAAAGCACTCTTGGAAGTTTCAAACCATAATTTGAAACACAAACAAATTCCAAACATGACATTCTAATAGTCGAATCGAGCGGCTCGATGAGACAACTCCAACGAGCCAAAGATCACCAAATTATGATATCATTAAGACATCCAAATCCTCAATAAACGGTCCATGATCATAGGGATCAATATTGGCCGTCCATTCAAACCACTCCCATCTTAACCTTAATCCTTCCCATATTTATAAGCCATGCTAATCTTAAAAAATTATAAATAACTCTCATTCTTCACATAAAGGGAAGGAAGAAGAGGAGAAGAAGGGGAGGAGAAGGGAAGAATTTGATAGCTTGCTTCAGTCGACCACGCCGGAGCTCTTCCCCACTACCGCCGTACTTCCGCCCGTTCGTCGACCGCCACCAGACTTACACCAGTTCGTCGACCACCATCGGAGTTCTTCCTGACCACTACACGACTTCCTCCTATTCATCGACCATCGCAAGAGTTCTTCCTGGCCACCACTAGACTTCTGTCCTTTAGTCGATCACCGTTAGGATTCCTTCTGACCACCATTGCCATTGACTACAGTCCTCCTGACCTCCATTTCCAGCCGACAACGGTCCTCACGACCTTCATCGCCTGCTGACTATGGTCCTCCCGACCTCCGTCGCCCACCGACTACGGTCCTTTCGACCTCCGTCTCCAGCAAACTACAGTGCTTCTAACCACTGTCGCATGTTGACTATAATCCTCTCGACCTCTGTCACCTGCCAATTATGATCAACCACCATTGCCAACTACGATTCTTCTGAGCTCCATCTCCAGCTGATTATGGTTCATTCAACCACTGTCACTCGTCGATTACGGTTCTTCTGACCTCCATCGCCCGCCGACTACAGCCCTTCTAACCATCGTCACCCACCGACTATGGTCCTTGCGACCATTGTCGCCCAACTATGGTCCTGACCTCCGCTGCCCGACTACCATCCTTCTGATCACTGTCATTCAACTACGGTCCTTCCGACCTACATCGCTCGCCGACTGTGGTCCTACCACCCAAATGAACATATCAACACTGATTCTTCCAACTGTCACCATGTAATACACTCTATATGATGTATATTTGTTACATCAAGCTAAGATCTTCCTCTTAAAGAAGGGCCTCATTTGTAATCAATTATAATCACTTGTGGATTCATTCAAATTAGGCCTGACCCCATAGTTTTTCTCCTTTTCATGGGTTTCCACGTAAAAATTATGGTCTCTTGTGATTGATGCATCCATCTTTTCTACTTGTTTGTGTGCTGGATTTTCGTATAAAGCTTGGGCGCTAAACTTTATATCTCTCTACCGTCGTGAATATTCTAGGACGCAACAGTTTATCATCGTCTGTGAGAACATCGTTCCTAACTGGGGGTAACTTTTGCTCCCATCTCAAAATGTTATTCATGTCAAAGTCCTGACATCGGTCATTGTTACATTAATTTCTTGGGAATTAGATGTGGCCTGGGGGCAACCTTGATTGCAACTGTAGTCAAGAAAATTCCTCATAATCTTCCAATATTAAATATAATATCTTGAGAAACTATTTTTCATAAAGCTTTTAGCAAATACAAGGATTCTTCCAATAGTTCAAGTTTTATACAATCCATAGCTTGACTTCTATTCCTTGGACAAGATCTTAATTTCAACATCGAAAAGGCAATAATGGTCTAAAGATACATTATTTTTCACTTTTGATTCAAGATACACGTGACATTTTTCCCCTTCTCAATCAAGACATAATCAATTCCAGGGGGATTCGATTCGGCCTCTTCCACACAGGTTAAAATCATCGAGTAATACTCTGACAAGCAACCTTGGATAGGTCATACATCATTGGTGGATTCTCTTGACCCTTTCCACATGTTGGTGCAATTTTTGAAAGTAGGTTTTTGAAAAAGATCAGTTTTCTTTGGAAATTCAAAATAAACTTTTATATTTGAATTTTGAGATCGAACGTCCCATTAGAAAAGTCATACAACTTTGAGAAGTGGAGATAAAATTTCAAAAAGGGGTTCAAATCCAAAATTATAAATCCTACTTTGAATATCATAATCAGATCTGAGTTAGAACCTCATATGATCTCGAAAGATTAAAATGGAGTTCGATCTAATTTCTGGCTATGATATTCTAAGTATATTATTATTGATCTTATGCCCAAAACCTTATGAACATATGATATATCTTTCAAGAAGATACCACTATTTGATAATTATTCGAGCATGACGATAACAATTGTCGCTTGTTGAATTATTGAAACTATCTAAGAGCATTAATTAAGGGGTTAAAAGTTCTTTTAAAATTAAAGTTAATCTTGAATGTTTCAAATTTTTAATAAATATTAGACTTTATGCCGAGTATTTAGACTGTTAGCACGCTTAATTCGTAGTTTCCTATGAAAAGTTATGAATTTTTGAAGTTTAAGCTTAGATTTCGACCTCTGTTTGACCAAACTGTTAACTTTTTGACTTTGACCAGATTTTGAAAATTTGACATTTAAAAAAATAAATTTTATCTTA